AGAAGGACACCCAAATCTTTGATTAAATTGATGCCTTGCAGGCGTCCATGAAACAATCTAAACATCAATTTTCATATGGGAGACACCAGCTAACAACAGAGGGAAAGGACGTCATTACCCAAGGACTAACAACACAGCACTATGGCAATCAGTAACTTTGGCAGCTTAAAATCAAGTGACAATGACAAAAACAGAACAACACAATGACAGCTAACCACCACCTTCGTTGCAATACTTGTGGCAGAACTTGTCAATTGTAGATTGGTTGCTTCAACTATGAGCAAAAGTACATTGTATTAAATTATACCATTATCAATGGATTTTCCACATCTACAATCTCATGTAGGTGGATGAATGCTGACAACAGGATGATAAAATCACACCTGGAGTACCATGTGCAGTTTCAGGCTCCAAAATTTAAGGAAGGATAGTCTACTTGGAGACATCATAGTGAAGGTTCACTGGACTGATTCCTGGCATGAGAGTGTTGTCCTGAGATAGGAGACTGAGTAAATTGGGCTTATACTCACTGTAGTTTAGAAAAATGAGAAATGATCTCATTGACAAACAAGATTCTGATGAAGCATAACTAGGGAGACATTGAGAAATTATTTCCCCTGGGTGGGGAATTCAGAACAGCAGGCTAGTGTCTGGATGAGAGCTGATCTTTTAGATTTTATATGAGAGAAATTTCTTTACTCAGAGGTTTTTGAATCTTTGGAATTCAGTAACCCAATCTACTGTTGAGTGGAAGTAAGGCTGAAAGAGAGAGAATTTTGGTCTCTTAGGGTCTTGAACTGTATGAACAGTAAGCATTTAAGTGGAATTGAAACATAGTATCAGCCATGATCAGGATGCAAGAACAGGCTTGAGGGGTTCCATGGCATATACGTGCATCAAATTCTTTTATCTTTCATACAATGCAGAAGTTAAATTAAATATTTAACTAAAAAACATCAATTTTGATCACACGGTAAAATGCAAGATCAATGGATGAAATGCTGACATCTACTTTGTGTTTATATAAACTTCAGCTAAGTAGTTTCTTATGATCTTTCAAATGTAGAAGAACATGATCATTTGTCACCTTCATTTGTTCTAGGCATTGATTTAACAATCTTTTTGTAGTTCTTAGATATGTTCTTCAGTTTTGCAATGCTCTGTGGAACATTCAAATTAACGCTGCCTTAACCTTGAATCTTTTCAAGGCCACACTCCAACCTCCCCCAAGTCACAGAATTTCTTCTGTCAGAAAATTGTCTGCTGTCTGAAGCAAAAACAAACCTAAATCCAGATTCAACCTGGTGCAAGGTTTGTTTCTTTTCACTTCTAACTTTACATATTTTATTCTGTTTTTAGTGTAATGTATATTATGACAATTGTCTCATATTCAGTCCACTAAGTCAATACCATTGTAAGAAATTATATCATTTTATCACTGGGGCACATTCTATCATTAAATACAGATAGTATTTCATCAAACTATTACTTGTACCTAGCAGCTCCGTATCATACAAGGTGTTTGAGAAAAGTAATTGCTATTTTTAGTTTCTAAGGCTTACAAGCCTTCCAAATAAAATTGCTTTAAAAATGCATGCCTTAATTTGTGCACATCCCATACATTGAACATATTTATTTTGGAGCTCATAAATGGTACATTGTCTACAGATTATGTAGCGGTCTAATCATCTTAAACTCAGCAAAAGGTGGTTATTGTTTAGCTTTGGGGATTTGCATTCGCTAAATAATAAATTGCACAAATATTTTCTTTTTACAGTTGCTAATGTGTCACAAGTTGAACTTTTGTTTTCAAATTCTAGCCTCCAGTATATGTTCCTACCAAAATAATGCTAAAAGATGAATTCCATTGGATTGATATCTCCACCTTCCCCACCACCCTCCATATCACCGTAAAGATTTAATGAAAATCTGGAAGAGTTTTTACTTACCTTTACTATCTGAACTTACCGGCAGACCACATAACATCTGCAGTATCTTTCCTATTCATTCACCATTTTGTTTTTAAAAAAAGGCTAACATTGATCATTAAAAAGCAAATGGAACATTTAGTCTTGCATCTAGCAGCATAGAGTTTATTCAGTACAGAAGCAGTTTATTCTGCCCCTCAAACCTGTTTTACTATTCGATTAAATATTGACCACAGGCAGTCCCCAGGTTGAGAAAAAGTTCAATTCCTGACACCGTTCCCACATCAATGTGTATGCAAGCCGGAACACAATGCAGGACAAAAGTTTGGAAGTACAGTAAATGTTTGTATGTAGGATATTTGACATTAAACCTCTGTATGAGATTGTGTTCATAAGTATGAGTGTTTATAAATCAGATCTTCATAAATAGGGGACTCCTGTAGTCTGCACCTTAACTCCACAAACCGACTTAGTTTGATAGTTTTGTTGGACAAGAGTTTTAAAGGCCATCAATTTCAAGTTGTAAAACTGATCACTTTTTTGTGGGTAAGATCCAGACATTCTTCACTACGTTTTGCATGATAAAATGCTTCCACACAGCAGCCTGCACGGAATTAGTCTATGGTTGTTTCTCCTTGTTCTGGACATCCCCAGCAAAGGAAGCAGATTCTCTCTATTTATGCTATCAACTTGTTACTTTCGTATTCTATATACCCCCATTTACTAATGTTGATCAAGAACATAGTTATGCTGCTGTTGGTGCATTGTGCATTGCTTTGAATAAGCCATTAGAAGACATAAAATTAATTGAAAAGATGTAGCATTGATTCACTGGAATGTTGCAAGTGATGAGGAGCTCATTGACATAATGAGAAGCTTAGCCTGTTTTCAGCAGACTGTCCAAGATTAAGGCTGCACTGGGCTACCTTCCAGATTATGATGAGCTAAATTGTGAAAGCTGGTGTGAGGGCATCTTTGTAAGTTAATTATGACGAAAAATTAAAAGGTTAGGGAAAAAAAGTCTTCATTCAGATAATTACTGAAATGTAGAAAGCTTTGGTGCAAGCAGCTGGAGATAAGTCCATCAAAAAAATGTTTTTTAAAGCATCCTAATTACTGGAAAAAGAACATACTAAAAGACATAATATGGGAGAAAAATTTGAAGAAAAACAGTTACACAGATTTGATAAGCCAAATGATCTATTTCTGTGATATGATATTCAATTTATTCCTTCTAAAATGTACAATCTCAAGCAAGAATTAAGTTTTTTAACATATTGGAATAATATTTGTGAAATTAGATTTTTATTATTTGATGGTATGTGGGCATTACTCATAATGCCATTATTTGTGGCCCATCCCCAACTGCACTTGAGAAGGTAGTGGTGAGCTATCTTCTTATAGTCCTAGTTCAGTATAACTTAGTGACTTGTTAGATAATTTCAGAGGGTATTTAAGAGTAACTGCATTGCTGTGGGTCTGAAATCACATAAAGACCAGACCAAGTAAGGATGACACATTCTATTCCCAGGAGAACATGAATGAACTGGATGGGTTTTTAATGACATATTATCATGGCACAGTTACGGAGACTAGCTTTCAATTGTAAACTTCCTGCATTAGTTAAATTTAAATGTCATCAGCATTCATGATGGAATATGAGCTCATGTTCCTACAGTATTGGTCTAGGTCTCTGGATGGTTGGTCTAGAGATATTACCACTACACCACCACCTCAACTGAAGGATGTACTAAGATCAAGTTGGTTAGTCATGGGTTTTAGGCTAAGTAGAGGTCAGTTCTAAAGAGGGGTCAGTGGACCCAAAAAGTTGACTCGGCTTTCTCTCCACAGATGCTGGCAAACCTGCCGAGTTTCTCCAGCAATTTCTGTTTTTGTTTCAGATTTCCAACATTCACGGTTTTATTTTTTGTTTACTATTTTTGTTTATGTGGTTGGCTGATTTCCCACATTTTATTGAGCTCACATGGGATAAATCATTAATCTCAGCTGTGTACTTGTAAAAACTATTACTGCAGTTTGTTGGGGGAGGGGTGACAAAACTAATGATTTTTAATCTATTGTTAATCATATGGTTGCCTTTAAATTCTAGCTGCCAATTATTAAGTTTTGTCTGTAAAGTCTGTGGGATAAGCTAAGCAACATTCGAACACACACTAACTGTTGGCCTGGTTCACTCATTTTTTGATCAGATATTTTTGAACCTGAGTTATTTAAATCTAGAAGCTTCCAGCAACAGCCTACTTAAAATACTTAAAACAATTGAGCTGTTTGAATTTATTAGTTGATGTGGGAATTTTCGAAGAATGGTTTAGGCCAATTACAGCGCCTATGGAAGGAATTCAAAAAAGTATTACACAAAAGAGTAACAGCATTAAGTAGCAACTTTTTACCGTTTAAGCGTCAAATAAAATGATTTTAATATTCACCGATTGGGTAGTAAACTGAAAGCTTGACAAAGTTCACAATTAAATTTGGGAGGGTGGGTTGGGCGGATTCTATACCAGGCAGTTGGACCTGTCACCTCTATTTACGACTTCACTTGAGGAGAAAATGCAGTGTGTAAGGCCACGTGCAACATACACATTATACATATTAAGGCGATCTTGAGTTGTGATAATGTATTACTTGTCGAAGATAAACTAGAAATTGTGGAAGCAATAGGTTATCCCATCACTAAAATTCATTCTGATTATTGAAAAGGTTGCCCTGTCCCTCCTGGGTCATGTTTTTAAGAAGGTTTATCCACCTACATATCAAAGCGTTTCTGAAGGCAATTAAGAACTACGGCTAGAAAATCTTTAATAAGAAAACGCCCAGAGAGAAGAGAGTAATAAATTCAATCTTCAACTTAATCTAAGAAGTCTTAATCTTGATTTTCACGTCTACTCCAGAATGATTTTACAAGAGTTTTTGTTTTTCCTAGAATCGACATGCTTACTGCATAGAAAGAACCCGGTGCAGCAACTTCATTGTTTTCCAAAGGGTTTCCTAGGATTTACAGCCTGCAGCGATATCGAACGGATTCTCTTCAGATTAAACTCGAAGCTCTTTCCAACAGAGATAGTAGGAACTGCAGATGCTGGAGAATCCGAGACAACAAGGTGCAGGGCTGGATGAACACAGCAGGCCAAGCAGCATCATAGGAGCAGAGATGATTTACTACCTCGCGAAGAGGCGGAGTAGTTAAAGGGTCCGCACCTCGCGCCGCCGAGTCACAAACAAGGAGGCGGGTTTCGCCCCTTAATGAATAGGAGGCGGCGCAGGCTCCAACCTTCTCCTGGAGGAAAGAGAGAAACAAACTGCCTGCCTCGCGCCCCGCACTTTTCAAGCCTGAGCTTACTATTTCCCCACCCCCCACGTTTCCCAGCTGGAGCTCGAGCTCGCCGCGGGGGTCCACGCTAGCCCAGAGCGGCGGCTCGTGCTCACCAACCCCACCCCCTGCAACGTTCCCATTGGACCAATGCGACGGACTGCTCGCGCCAAGCGCGGGAAGGGGCGCGAGGTTCGGTCGTCCGTTCGGCGCGTGTGCGCGACCTGGCGAAGCTGTCAACGGTCCCCGGCCGTCAGTCAGTCAGTGAAGGGGCAAAACCAGAGAGGGTCAGGGGGAAGCAGGCGGCAGATGGGCGACTCCGGCGTCGAACCCCAAACTACTCGTGAACCACGCCTGACCCCTCTTCCGTGCTTGAGAAAACGCTCTTCTTTCCAACTGAGGGAAAACATATCTGGGGATCTATGGAGGTGAGACAGCAACTTCGGGCAGGGATGGCTTATTGCAGTTTGGTTTAAATGCCCGAGTTCACGATATTTACACTTCCACTGTTAAGGGAGGGAAACATAACCGGCTTTTTTGGTTGATTCGCGGCGTCGTTATCTATTTCGAAAGCTCCTCGTAAACTTTCTTTTCAGATTATAACGCATTGTGCATTTACCAACGTTGAGCCTCGATGTCAGCGCGGGGTGAGGTGTGAGGGTTTAAATTTAGGCTCCAGATCTCGTGGAAATTTTACCGACAGTTTATGCGTCGAATGGATAAATCCGGGGCAGTTTAAAACGACGAAACGTTTCGTTTCTTTCTCCCCGTCCACGGGAGATGAGAGTTACCGACCCTGGACGAACTGGATGTATTTTATTGAGGTGGATGGTGGTGGCAGCGATGTCTGTGCGGCGAGGGGAACAACGCCATTCAGTTTAACTCAATTTATTGGGAAGGAGAATAGAAGTTGTTCGTCGTTTTGAGAAGCTGGACGTGTTTGGGTTTTTTTGTTATAAGGATCCGCCCAGTGCTCATCCGCATTCGGGATTTTGTGGCTTCCAGCCCTTCAACCTGAGTATGCGTGGAGAGGCGGGGGTAAGACTGCTGCTTTGACCTGTTGAACCCGCTCGAGGGTCACGTGGTTCCAAAGCAGTCGCATGGGACTGGAAACTTCAAAACTAGGTTTATTTTTCCACAACAAAAACAAAGTTGCTGGAAAAGCTCAGCAGGTCTGGCAGCATCTGTGGAGGAGAAAACAGAATTAACGTTTCGGGTCCGGTGACCCTTCCTCAGTTCTGTTAACTCTGTTAACGTTAACTCTGTTTTCTCCTCCACAGATGCTGCCAGACCTGCTGAGCTTTTCCAGCAACTTTGTTTTTGTTCCTGATTTACAGCATCCACAGTTCTTTTGGTTTTTGTTTATGTTTCCACCCCAGATACTGACAGGACTGCGGAGTTTTTCCAGTGCTTTGTGTCTTCTAAACTTCAGGCCTCCAGTGTTTTGCTTCTTATTTGGTTCGATTTATCAGGATTTTTCTGTCAAGTCGACGTGTTACTGAACCAATTCGACGTGTTGTTTTAAGATACATTTATTTTTAATCAACCCTCTGGTGCCACCTCCAAGGCAGGTGGGGATTAAAACTGGACCTTGTGGCTCAAGCTTAGGGACAACAGCGCCGCAAGGCCGTCACTTTGGACATTATACATTATGAATTTAGTACAACTATTAATTTGACTTTTTTGAAAAAGTTTCCTGAAATGCATTTTTTTTTCTTGAAATGGTGCAGTGAAGGCATTTTGCAGGGCTTCATCCTTATCTGGACTGCAACTACTTCAGCTTCAGGCAGTACAGGAATGACTTGACCCAGCTGACTGTTTAACCTGTGTGCGGGGGTATTGAGTGTGGTCCTTCAGCACGAAAGTATGTATGATAGAGGGACCGGACATAAGGCAGGGGGGCAATTTGTGCTGTTACTACTGAGTTCTGGAATTACTAGCCTCTGACCAGATGCTTTTGATGGCTTGGAAATCTTATGACACCTGGGCACCACTGTCAGAACTTAAGTGAAACCACGTCCTTTCCTCCTTAACCCATACAATGTTAATTTGCAAATCAAACTCAAGTCTATGCTTCTGTCCATTAGAACATAAATTTCCAAGTAACACACTATCCCAAGTCTGCTCACAACCCAGGCTTTATTATTTTAAAGTGCTAATAGGTACTTTACAGGACAAAGTGAATTGCGGTGGTAACAAATTATCATGCTGTTCCATTTTGTTCATTTGCATACCTTACCTACTACCCAGCATTATCTCATTAATAAAATGTCTTGATCTGTTATTTGAGCTTTGTGGATGCTGTGCGTGTCATTTAGCACACTGCGGTAAGACCACGTTACTTACAGACCTGAGATAGTAAGAACTGCAGATGCTGGAGAATCCGAGACAAGGTGCTGGGCTGGATGAACACAGCAGGCCAAGCAGCAGCATATGAGCGGAAAGGCTGACGTTTCAGGCCTAGACCCTTCTTCAGAAAAGGGGGAGGGGGTTCTGAAATAAATAGGGAGAGAGTGGGAGGCAGATAGAAGATGGATAGAGGAGAGGAGGCGGCGGAAAAACTGCCGTATGTCCAAGCGTGAGCGGTATTCGTTGCAAGTACTAAGAAAGGTGATGTGGCTGTAGTACCTGGTTTGCTTCAGGACATGGTCAAGCAGTTTCAGGGCCGAAAAGATTACGAGAGAGTTGCAATGGAAGAGAGATCCCCTGAGGTTTGTCCGGAGGGAGGAGGGTAACTTCTTCAGGCTAGGCAAATCTGAAGCAAACCAGGTACTACAGCCACATCACCTTTCTTAGTACTTGCAATGAATACCGCTCACACTTGGACATAGAGCAGTTTTTCCGCCGCCTCCTCTCCTCTATCCATCTTCTATCCGCCTCCCACTCTCTCCCTATTTATTTCAGAACCCCCTTCCCCTCCCCCTTTTCTGATGAAGGTTCTAGGCCCGAAACGTCAGCGTTTCTGCTCCTATGATGCTGCTTGGCCTGCTGTGTTCATCCAGCCCTGCACCTTGTTGTCTCGGATTCTCCAGCATCTGCAGTTCCTACTATCTCTGATTCAATTTTAACCCCACTGCGAAGCCTCTTCTAAGGATGCCTAGCCTGAAGAAGTTACCCTCCTCCCTCCGGACAAACCTCGGGGGATCTCTCTCCCACTGCAACTAGGTCGTAATCTCTTCGGCCCTGAAACTGCTCGACCATGTCCTGAAGCAAACCAGGTACTACAGCCACATCACCTTTCTTAGTACTTGCAACGAATACCGCTCACGCTTGGACATAGAGCAGTTTTTCCGCCGCCTCCTCTCCTCTATCCATCTTCTGTCCCCCTCCCCCTTTTCTGAAGAAGGGTCTAGGCCCGAAACGTCAGCCTTTCTGCTCCTATGATGCTGCTTGGCCTGCTGTGTTCATCCAGCCCTGCACCTTGTTGTCTCTTACTTAGACTTGTCCTGGTAGGATTTCATTTGGGACTGTCAACTATGGAGAAGGTTTAAGCTGTGTTTATTGCCTAATTACTGCAGGGGAATATCTTCATTGGCACAAATCAGCCCTAGGACTTGTGTCCTATGTTAAACGTTGATATTGATGACTGACTTGTCTCTTTTAAAAACTGCTTTTCTTTGCTCTTTTTGAAAAAAAAATTGCTGTACAGTAGAAGTCTTCAACCATCTCTACGTTGATACTGTGGAGTCTGCAGCGAAAGCTAGCAATGACAAGAGTTACTGACATTAGTTTCTGGTGTTGACCTAAGGTATTAACTGGCCAGTATGCATCATTGGTTCCCATTACTCTAAAGTTTAGGGACAGCACTGAATTAGATCTTGGACACTCCCCTCATGAAGTAGATTATAGCAAAATTGTTACTGGCCTGCATCTCATTTCATACTCTTAACTACTTTCAGTATGTTTTGCTTGATGATGTACTGATTTCCTAGGGCCTCTCCTTATGATATATCTTTAAGGAATTGATGCTTAAAAACTTCAACATGTCTTTAGGGGAACTCTTTGTAAGTATTGCTACTGTACCTATCTCAGTTGTTGAACAAACTTTGGTATAGGTGGTTCAAACTTCAGAAGATGTCAAAATCAACTCGCCTTTCCTTTAGGAAGAAGAGATTGTCAATGAATTTGAAGATTTAACAAAGCGATTGTTGACCGAACAGTAAGGTTAGTTAATACTTTAACAACCAGGGTTTCTGCCGTATGAGACATCCTACACAGGATCTTACAAAAGACTCCAAGTTTCATTATCTTGAGAATTTGTTCTACTTTTTCCCTGCTTCTTGAGGAATCTGAATGCACATTCATAAACAGTACTTATTTAATTCAAAGTGGATAAATTTGTCATGCTTCAGTTGATTTTGTGCTTAACATCAAACTTGAAAATTCAATAACGATTGTTAAGATGCTACATTGCCAGGAAAAGAGAGCAGTCAATGATGTCACACCTGTATTTTTCTGAAAATAAATAGTTGATTTATGGAGCGCTAGAATTTCTTGTAGATGGATTCTTCTATATATAGAGGATTTGTTTTCAAATCAAATCTCTTCTGTTGATCTGCAATCTTCTTAACTTCTACACTGCAGTAACTCCTAAATGATCAGTTTTCTCATGGATTGTCATCTGCAACTCTATGTAGCTGCACATTTTCAAGAGTATTACCCAAGATTACTTCACTTAAACAGTTGGATTTTTTGATTAGTAGACATTTAAGGTAGTAATTAAACTTAGATGGACAACTGCCTGGTATCAGTCAAAAAGAACCTAAAGTTGCCTTATTCTTACACCAACATTTCTCCTCTTTATTGAGGGTTCTGAAGATTTAGCTAAACAGTATGAGGCTTCCTTTAGTTTCTTAGATGTAGAAAAATGTCTATCTTTGCTTATTAAAGGCTGTAACAGTTGCAGTTCTTATCCACAGTTAAGTATTTGCCCTTGAGCACACAGACAACAATATTAGATTGCTCATTGCTGGCTGACTGTCTGGTTTTGTACACCCTTTGTTATCAACACCTGGTGGGTTGTCCATTAAATACTATACAACCCAGGCAAATTTATCACCTATATTAGGGGATATAAAATTGCTTTTTCTTTTTGTAGCAGTATGTCTTGGCAACATGTCAATATGGGCCCAAGATGAGCTTTTGAGTGACTAAGATCAGTAAAGATACAGTACTTTGTTGTGGGTTTGGGTTTTATTCTCACATTTGGCCGTTATATTTTGCAACTTCTGCATTAGGTTACTTAAAATATCACTGTCAGAGGAAAATGAGGCTCTTGAGTAGTATCTACAGTTCAACTGCAGGATTTCTAATGTGAAATATTTTATAATGTTTTTAAAAAATGCTTCAGAGAATATGTCAGAATAATGGAGAAGTAGCAGATACATTGTGAGTTGGATACATTCAGAGCTCTGTTAGATAATGAGCT